TGAAAAGGCATAACCTGTCCCTGGAGAGATGATGGAGAGAGGAAAGCCTACATTTTAATTTAACTTTCACTTTTAGGCTCAAGGGTATATGTGAAGGTCTGCCACATAGGTAAACTCATGTTACTGGGGTTTGTTTTCAAACTCATGTTTCTGGGGTTTTTTTGTTTTGTTTTGTTTTTTCTATCACCTAGGAATTAATTCCAATACCCAATAGCTATCTCTTCTGCTCCATTCCCTCCTCCCATCCTCTAGTCTCAAGTAGGCCCCAGTGTTGTTTTTCCCTTCTTTGTGTTTATAAGTTCTTAACATTTAGCTCCCACTTTGAAGTGTAAACATGTGGTACTTGGTCTTCTGCTGCTGTGTTGGTTTGCTGAGGTTAATAGCCTCCAGCTCCATCCATGTTCTCACTAAAACATGATCTCATTCTTTTTTATAAGCCTATACTTTTCAACTTTTCCCTGAAGAATGAGAAATTATTTGCCAAGCTGAGAAGAAAATGAGGGCATGTGAAGGAGTGTACTTGGCCTGACCAAAGTTTAGGAACTATGGCTTGTGGACATGCAGGATTCAGGCCATACAAAGGATTAGAGACCATGGCTGGTGCAAGTGTAGGGTTCAGTGTCGCATAAAAGGGCAGTGCGTTGCATTGGAGTCAGTGATTCATCACATCTGTCCTGGCCCTCCTCTTTACAGAGACAGAAATGCTCAAAGTTCCTACGTGGTTTGATTCTTTAGCATTTGATAAAAACTATATAAAGTTGTGGCAGGCAACCACAAATGTTATATTTGGAATATGCAGAAGTGTTCTGCATATATGTGCTTTCATAATATAAATGATTGGTTCAAATGCAGTTGAACTACTGAGGTCTGAAAAAAGAGTTCGGACATAGTTTAGAAAGCTGTAGCAGAGTTGAAGACTCATAACCCTGATGAACCAGCCGTTCCACACCTGGTGCTCACCTGCTCGGCCCTTAGGTCCTGAAAGTGTTACAGGTACAACAAGATACTGATTCCTTCCACCTTGGAGAAGCCTTCTACTCCTGCAGCCATCACAAACAGCTTTATTTGTTTCCCAGTGAACCGTACCAACAATATTATTTCTTGTGGTTGCCATGATTGGGAAACGCTGACTTAGAAAAACCCTGCACCAGGAGACTTGGACAGAAATAGCCACAGCAGCAGCGCTGGTGCTAGCAAAACCTGGAAACTGCGTATGCCAATCAATGGAATCTTATTCAATTCAGGATTACAAAGGGACATAGAATAGTGATGAAGACTAGGAAATCTTAGTTACCTGCATGACAAAATATAAATGAAAAATAGCAAGTCACAGAAGAATGTATAGTTTTCCACTGGCCTTGAAGTTGAACTATACAATGCTAAGTGACACTGCAACCACGTCTTTATGTGGCAAAATCATGAAAGAAAGGGGAGTAATAATCATTACCCAAAGCAGAGGACAACAGGTTGGAAGAGTGTTCAGAGTAGACATCAAAGGTGCTGATGAGGTTGTAGGGTAAAGCTGGGTGGTGGGTGACATAGTGTTTTCATTTTATTACTCTATATTCAGTACATATGTTTAATACCATATGATTTATGTATTTAATATTTATTAATAAAATAGATAACTTTTGTTGACACAAATAAATACAAATAAGATAAGGGTATTGGCCCTTGCTAGATTACATTTTAACATAGCTGGGCCTGTCACACGGGCCATGTTTTGTACATGCACAGACACCTGCAGATACACACATACACAGTAACAAGGTAGGCAGCTACATTGCTATGCTCATATGTTAAAACAGGAGTGTGTTGGTAACAGGTGAGAGGATGAAGAAGACGCACTGTGATTCACAGCAGAACTCAGGAAGTGTGCTGACTTTCTTGGGCAATGCCTGGAGCTGAATTTGAAATGGTGCCACTACAACCAGGATTTGAACATTGGATCAGGGGTCAGACAAGACAGCACCCTCTGCATAAGACAAGGGAGTAGTTTTGGTGCCTTCTTGGTAAAGAGAACAGAAAGAGTGAAGAAAAGAGTGAGAGTACAGAAGCCAGAGAGATGGCAGGAAGCTGCTGGCTGTTCTCCAAACCCTTCCCTGCCAGTACTGAATCTTCAATAGTAGCTTCCAAATTCATGTGATGCTTGACATAACTTGTTTGTTTGTTTGTTTGAATACAGGAACAAGTGAAGGAACTGAGACTGCATTTGTTCAACAGTGAGAGAAGCACATCCTTCCTCGACATAGACAGGACTTGGTGAGTCTAACCCCAGGGGTTGGTAAGAGAAATAATGGGGAGGGCTGTGAACATCCAAGGTGTGAAAGAAATAAGGAGCCAAATATCTGGGAAGCAAGAAAGCCTTAGCTGGCACCTGAGGGTCAGGCACGACACATGTTCTTAAGCATTTATCGGAGAAACAGCAGGTTTAAGTTGTGACCCATAGCTGAGATGAGCAGCCGAAGGACCCACACTGATGATGTGAAGTCCCGGGCCCTCACCTCTCTGGCTTCTGTTGACGTTCCAGTGTGACTCCCCAAATCTTTTCATGGGTGCAGATCTCTTTGTGATCTGTAAGGCATTCCAACCCAGTTCTTACTGGGCAGAAGGCAAATTATGAGTCTGAGATGGTCTGGCTGTGTCCACGGCCAAATCGCATCTTAAATTGTAGCTTCCTTAATTCGGAGGTATTGTGGGAGGGACTTGATGAGTGGTAATTGAATCATAGAGATGGGGCTTTCCCGAACTGTTCTCACGATAGTGAGTAAGTCTTATGAGATCTGATGGTTTTATAGATGGGAGTCCTCCCTGCACAAGCTTTCTTTCCTGCACCATGTAAGACATGACTTTGCTCCTCATTCACCTTCTGCCATGATTGTAAGGCCTCCCCAGTCACATGAAACTGTGATTCAATTAAACGTCTTTCCTTTATAAATTACCCAGTCTCAGGGTTATCTTCATTAGCAGTGTGAGAACAGACTAATACAGACTCTACTGAATTCACTGCTTTCCCTAACTGGGAAGCAGTGACAGGGTGGCTGAGAGGCAGCCCGGTCCCAACACTAGTTATACATCCTTCAGCCAACCACACAAACTGTGGCTATGGGTCCAGTCAGAAAGCAGGAGGCAGAGGACCTGGGGGAAGAGAGGCCTGTGCCTGAAGATGAGGCAGGAGGGAGTGGGCACCAACAGCAGGGCACAGGAGTGGCTCTGATTCCTTAGATGGGGATGTGTCATAGGACACAGGACAAAGCTCAGGCATCAGAGCAAAGGACTGATCACAAGAGAAGATATCAAAGGCCAGAGCACTCAAACTGGGAGACAGGTGAAGGCCAGGAAGGCCCCAGAATCTGAGGAACTAGAGGGGCAGGTGAAGGGGCCCCAACTCTCAGAGTTAGAGGGTCCCACAGACAGGCTTCCAGGTGAACTACTGCAGGTCATCAACTCAGCAAATTCCAAGACAACTGGCTTGTATTCAACTCATGTAGAGAGAAATGAATGCTACCCAGAGATATTTAAAAATGCTGACATGGTGTAATTAATAAAATATCTAATTGAAGAAAAAATTATAGTTTAATTCAAAGAGCAGCAGCTCATTATGAAAATTGCCTTTTAAAGACCCAATTTACCAAGGACAAGTGAAGGTCTCTGTGGTTGAAACTATTTTTCACTTTGAACCAGTGTTTTTTTGCTAAGGACAAAGTCAGATTTTAAAAATTAATTAAATGTTCACATTGAATCTTTACATGAAACTCTTAAATTCCACTAATTAAGCTTAGAGAACACTTACAATATGAAGGGTCAGATGTTTCCCCTAAAATTTCAGAAAGATATTTAGGCATTCAAATATTTAACCACTGAAGGTTTATTCCTGGCAAAAATACATGAGAAAAATGCTGTCGATAAAAGCCTTTAAATTAATTCCTGACAATTAAAATCAACTTCTACTGGGCTCAGACCTATGTTACTTTATGTGCCACCTGCTAATTGTAGACAACACTCAATGTTTTATCACTCCTGGTCCCTTTGCAAGTGAACTCTACAGCTCACTCATTCATTTACCTACCTTCCTCTATTTAGCAGGAGGTCCTATTACCCTCTCCACCTGCCGCTTCCAGAGGGCTGGATTCTTGTAAAAGAGTCCAGGCTAGAGCCACAGAGACTGTTGTGGAGGTAAGTATGGCTGTAGTTGGAGACCAGAGTGATTGGACCCTTCCTACTGGTCTGTCCTGGGCTGATGGGTGGGTGATTTTTGCTGATCATCCAACATGGGAGCAGAGAGAAACTGGCAGCCAGAGGCAGAACATGGTGAGAAGTAGTGCTCGCATTTCCCATTTCTCCTAACACAGTTCTACTGTGCTAGAAGCGACAGCCTATAGCCACAGCTAGAAAATAATCTGCACTGTGACTTAACTGTGTATGTCATTCCAGGGGACCACTGAACCAGACAGCTGAAGCTAAGATCATTGTTCTACTTTGTATTTACTACTGTGAGAATCAGTTGACTCCACTTCAAGTCCCTGCTTAAATTCCTGTCACTAAATGGAAATGTGTTTGGTTTCGAACTTAAAACAAACATAACAAAAAAGACAATGCAGGAATGTTTACACATACTTTCTAGTTCAGAAAAGACATCCTCTTTCTTATCCAAATTTTCTTTCCTTCTTTATCAACTTTGTTTTAAATTTGAATGGGTGGCATAGCTAACTGGTATTATTATATTCTTCTGGGGCTCAGTATTTCGACTAAAAGCAGGAAATTGGGACTACAATTTCAACATTGGTTTAATTTCAAAATTGTTCTCAAATGTTACTTATGTTTTACGGTTTTGCTGGCTTCAGAAATCCAGAATGTGCACAGAAAGCACGTAAACATTAAGATTTTTGATACTTGGGTTAAGCTAATATAATGCCGGTGAGGATGATAGTGATGGATGATAAATAGATGAACAAACAGCGGCTTTCAATTCATTCCAAATGTTTAATGATTTAGTACTTGCTAATATCAGCCAAGATAGGAAACTGAAAAAAACACCTTTTTGTTGTTCATACTGATTTTTATTCAGTCTCCAAGGATCAGTTTCTTCATAATTATACTTTCAGAGATTCTTGTCTCTGGAAGTTAGTAGAGATCTCATTGATTCTTCATAAACGTCTCATTAGAAAAGCTCATGCCTGCAGCATCTCTGAGAAAGCATTTATTTATCTAAACGGTAAGGCAGAGAGAATCATAAGAACATTGCTTCTCATCGTACAGCTGCTCTAAGAGACTTAGCTCTACTCGAAAGCATTATTCCGATTTATTATTCATGTCCATGACAATTATGATGTTACCTAGTAATATCATTAGGAATGCCCTTTAGTAAGAATAACTCCATTTAAAAATCATAAGAAGTATATTTCAGCTAATTACATGTTTCATAAAGGGAATGAAAATATTATAAGCCAAAATAAAAATGATCTGATTATTATCTATTTGTGGGATTATACAGCTGCTACTGTAGGAAGGAAGAAAGGAAGGAAGGAAGGAAGGAAGGAAGGAAGGAAGGAAGGAAGGAAG